TGCAGATAATTTGTTTTTATATTGAAGACATGCTATACTACCATAAGACTGTCACTTATTTTGTTATTTTGTGCAAATGTTTTGAAAAAATTCTTTATTAATAAATTTTTGTTCTATTAGAAAAAAATTTTTACAAATTAATATTGATTATATCAACCTTTGATTTTGAATTTAATTGATAGTTCTTAAAAATAAATTGATCGCAAATTCTAATTAAGTGACCCTCATTTTATTATCAATCTAATCAAGGATTAATTAAATTTTCAATATATTGTTACTGATTTTTAAACGATTTTGATTAACTAGTTTTCTATTGAAGTCAAAAATTGTTGCTTGTTACTTTAGGGTGTCCCTTTAGTGCGTAATTTTTCAATATTTTTATTTGTGGTATAGACACACAAATCAAATAGTCCATTTAAAGGAAAAGTAAAAGGGGTAGAATTGGTCCGCATGAAGAGACCCCCTACCGCTTATGTTTTTGGGGTCGCTGATCACGAAAATGAGGGTTACAAACGCCGCAGGGGCGCGAAACACCCTTAAAATTGCAAAAAACACCCCTAAATAGGGTTGTTTTTCGACTGTACCTGTTGTTTTGCTCAACTAAGCCATCTTATATGTTTTTTGGGGCGCTGATTACGAAAATGATGGTTAAAGCTACCTGCAAGGGTTGGAACACCCTTAAAATTGCAAAAAACACCCCTAAGTAGGGGTGTTTTTCGACTGAACTCATTGTTTCACGAAGCTAAGCCATCTTATAAGTTTTTTGGGGCGCTGATTACGAAAATGGCGATGAATGAACCACCCCTAAAATTGCAAAAACACCCCTCAGTAGGGGTGTTTCTCGACTGTACTTGTTGTTTTGCAAACTAACTCATCTCTTACGTTTTTTGGGGCGCTGATTTCAAAAATCGGGGTGTCGAGACTGGAAAATTTGTGTGACACACCCCACATACCAGAAACACCCCTCCTAAGGGGTGAATTTTCGGGAAAAATTAACAGTTACGGTGTTTCGCGAACTAAGTCATCTTATATGTTTTTTGGGGCGCTGATTACGAAAATGGCATTTAAAACTTGCAGCAATGGTTGAACCACCCCTAAAATTGCAAAAACACCCTTAAGTAGGGGTGTTTCTCGACTGTACTTGTTGTTTTGCAAACTAACTCATCTCTTACGTTTTTTGGGGCGCTAATTACGAAAATGGCGGTTAAAACTTGCAGCAATGGTTGAACCACCCCTAAAATTGCAAAAACACCCCTAAGTAGGGGTGTTTCTCGACTGTACTTGTTGTTCTGCAAACTTACTCATCTCTTATGTTTTTTGGGTCGCTGGTTTCAAAGATCGAGGTGCCAAGACTGGAAAATTTCAGCCTGTGGATTTTGGTGAAAAATAAAATATAAATTACAAAATGTAAATATAGAATATATTTTTATTAATAGATATGAAATATGACAAGTATCAATCTTATTACAAGATATCACTATTCAGTTGTATTCAAATCTAGTCTTGGTACTTTGCATGGAGAAATTTCTTCATTCCCGTCAAATTCTGTTGTTGTTTCGGACCAATCAACTTCTGAACTTATCTGTGAGTCGCAAAAATCGCTCATATCCCCTTGATTTTCAGTTTCCTGAAACAATATTTCTGGCTCAAGTTCAAATTGTATTTCTTCTTCAAAATCTTCGTCTTCATCAAAGTATTGGATAGTCATGGTGTTTTCGCTATTCTCGCAGTCTCTGCCCCTACATCCTTTGCAGAATTGGGTGCAACGCAATCCCACTTTGTTGCAAGAACATTTCTTCGTACATCCCTTCTTGCAACTGCATGTAAACTTTTTTAGAAATTGGGTGTTTTTGCAATTTTAGGGGTGGTTCAACCATTGCTGCAAGTTTTCACCCCCATTTTCGTAATCAGCGCCCCAAAAAACATATAAGATGACTTAGTTCGCGAAACACCGTAACTGTAAATTTTTCCCGAAAATTCACCCCTTGGGAGGGGTGTTTCTAGTATGTGGGGTGTGTCACACAAATTTTCCAGTCTCGACACCCCGATTTTTGAAATCAGCGCCCCAAAAAACGTAAAAGATGAGTTAGTTTGCAAAACAACAAGTACAGTCGAGAAACACCCCTACTGAGGGGTGTTTTTGCAATTTTAGGGGTGGTTCAACCATCGCTGCAAGTTTCAACCCCCATTTTCGTAATCAGCGCCTCAAAAAACTTATAAGATGGCTTAGCTTCGTGAAACAATGAGTTCAGTCGAAAAACACCCCTACTTAGGGGTATTTTTTGCAATTTTAAGGGTGTTCCAACCCTTGCAGGTAGCTTTAACCCTCATTTTCGTAATCAGCGCCCCAAAAAACATATAAGATGGCTTAGTTGAGCAAAACAACAGGTACAGTCGAAAAACAACCCTATTTAGGGGTGTTTTTTTTGCAATTTTAAGGGTGTTTCGAGCCCCTGCGGCATTTCTAACCCTCATTTTCGTGATCAGCGACCCCAAAAACCTAAGGGGTAGGGGGTCTCTTCATGCGGACCAATTCTACCCCTTTTACCTTTCCTTTAAATGGACTAAAATTTCAAAATAAAGTTATATGGATTCCAAAAACTAGAATCTTATGAAAATAAGACCTTTATCTTCTTCCATCCCTGTTTGATAAAAGGAAGAAATTGTTTTTCAAAATTTAATTCAAAATAATTTTGTTGGTTTTTAATTAAAAAATGTTAACTTATATAAAGTTTAGTTTATTAGTTTTGCAATTCGTATGTTTTCTTTGTTTATTTTTGATAAATAAAAATATTTTTATAGTATTTTTTTAATTTTTCTATGATATTATGTCCCTAGATAGAGGATGATATTGATCACCTGAGCTAACAACTATCCCGATCAAGAGCCAGATACGGGGAATGAAGATGAGAGAGAGACACAAGAAGAACAAAATGAAGAAAGATGTAAATTACGAGATAATGATCGGGATACATTTTTTGTGGGCAAAAATGGCTCAAAATGGTTTAAACAAGTACTAAATAAAAATGTGAGGACTAGAGCTGATAATATCACAATCAACTTACCAGGTGTTAAGAATTATGGAAAGAATGCTAAAACACCAAGAAAATGCTTCGAGCTTTTAATAGATGAGGAAATGATGGCTGACATTGTTAGAAACATTGTTACAAACACCAAAGATGGGTTTGAAAAAGTAGAAAAAATCATACATTTTCCAAGTGATATAGCAACATGGGAAAATGTTTTATGTCAAATTAAAAAATGCTGGATTTATGAAAACTATCCAAGATAACGAAATTTTTGAAGAATAAGACGATGTTCTACGAAGACAGTTGTTTTCCGGTACTCCAGAAAATCCAGACCTGGAGAATTTTTTTTTATCGACCCACACATTTCAACAGAAAATCACAGTATTGATATGCAGGAAATAATTCAGGAATTCATTATCCATACTTTGTGATAAATTTTTTAATGTACGTCATTGCCAAGTCATCAAATAGTAGGAGATTAAAAGAATATGAATAATAACGTTGTGATTACAGGAAACAAGGTTTGGGAAATTTATGGAAATAACTCAATTAATAATTTCGCTAACTTACATCAAAATATAAAAACAACTATTAAATAAAAGCAGCTTAACTAAAAAAAAATAGACTGGTAACGTATTTTTATGGATTAACCAAATTTAAAACTATTAGTTGACACCGGTAGTATCAAATCAATTATCAAACCATCAATTGCCAAAATTTTTTATTCAAATTGCATTTATGATTTAAATGTAGATATTAAAACAGCACTTGTAAACAAGCGTATTAGGTTTCAAGCAGAGATACCGGCTTAACGAAAATTTAATTATACACTAGTGAAAAAATTAAGGGTTTAAAAAAAAATCTCGATTTTTGCGATTTTTCGATTGGATGTATCTTTGGTAAAAATGGTCACACGTGAATGAAAAAAAAGCAGTTTGAAGCTTGAAGTGTCTAGTTTATGGATCTTGTAATAAAAACAATTTCCAACCAACAATTAGCACAAAATACCGATGAATATCATGGATAGAAAAACACAATCCTTCAATTTCTTTAAAAATTCACTCGCATGAAACAATGAAACGACTTGATGGATCAGGTTGAAATTTTGTAGGGCTTTCGGGGAAACAATACCCAGTAAGATGCATACTTAACTTAAAAAATAGAAAATGCTTATATTTTAAAAAGTTTTTTTAGCCTTTTTTTGGGGTGATAATTTTTTTTACTTTATTTGCAAAACATTTATCAAAATTCTGGAAATCAAATTCTAATTGTAATTCAAAGTTTATTTCTCGCATATAGCAATAAACTTATTTTAAAAGCGTACCTTAGCTCAATTTTCTTTTCTTTTTAATTTTACCTCCCTCAGTATAGTGAAAGGCTATGACCAATCTCTATCTTTATTCTGCTGTTACAAGAGGAATATCACTTTTTTAAAATAACTAGCAACAAGTTAAGAAGCGAAAACCATCCTTGATTGATGTTTTAAATTTCTGTATTTTGATTTGTTTTACGAAAGGATTCATTATATTACTTACACATAAAAAAGTAAAAAAAAAGTATGTAGTAATAAATATTGTCACTAATTAATTCCTTCATTTCAAATAAGTTACGAAAGAGAAAATAATAAAACCAAAGTAAGTTCCTCCTAGATAAATTTTTTTGTGGTATTAAGTATGTAACATTCGCGAGACATATTAGCAATTTATTAAATTATAATAAATTCCTTTTAACATACCTTTTTCACGCGAACTGAACCGAATACTCATCGTTTGTTGTTTATCATAACATACCGGGGTAAATTGGTCTAAACTAGTCGTCAATTCATATAACACTATCCATCAATTGAGCACCCATTCGCCTCGGTAACGACAGAGTTGACCGGTTGTCGAAGTACCGTGCGGGAGTATACGTGACTATGTCAATATCAGGCCTACGCGAATACAGCGCCCCCCAGGCGCTTAGGAGTCACTATCAGTGTTTGTATTCGGGATAGCGCTTGGGCCTGTGGATGGTCGCGTGGTCGGGATGGGGGGCGTGGGCACCTGGAGTCGGCACCGGCGCTCGGGCGATGCTCGGCGGCTCCTCGCTCGTTGAACTGCTCGGCGATGGGTAGTACTCTCGTGGCACGGCACTGCCTACGCCTGCGGTACCGCCGCTGGGGCCTGGCTGACCCCCCATCGTATCTTCACTCGCCCACCGGGCTAGTTGTTGCTGAGCTTGAATAAATTCATCACTAGAAAATAGGAAGAGTAACAGTACTACCAAAACGAGTTGGTAGCAGAATTACTATTTTAATAAGTTATCAACGTCTTGTCTTATCTTTTTATGAATAGTTAGAGCGTAAATAAGCGTAATATTTTTTCTACAAACACATTAATTAGTATATGTTGGCCAAAAATTAAATTGACTGATTTCCGAATGTACAGTTTTTAAAAATCTAATTATGAACCAATTTATAGTTAACGGTCTTATTAAGGTCGCCTTACTATTGAACATTTATTAATTTTATTTTAATTTTATCTCAAAGGTAACGTTTAGAATTATTTTAACCTCAATTTCAAACAAATAGTAAAACTACCTAAGTTCAACATTTACCTACTATATGGTTTATTCAGGATATGCCCCAGACAACACACGGCATCCTTTGGACGTCCATATTTTGTCCAAAAAATCTACTGGATGTCCATGAACTTCATATGGATGCCCACTGGACATCTATTTTCCGTTGTTTCAATGGATAAATAAAAATGAAAAACTTAGAATAAATTATTTTAATTTAATTATTTATTACTGGATTTTAATTAAAATAAATCAATTATTTATTCTCCTCTTCGCTACTAAGCTGACAAGATACAAAAGTAAAAAGCCATTCAGAGTTCAGACCAGACTCCAAAAAGAAAAGAAGAAAAAGTAAGAACGGCTCTCTAGTTGAGATAATTTGTTATCTGGTAAAAAAATAAGTATAATTAACATTAGTTTATTTAAAATTAAAAAAATTGGGAAGAACATCGTTTGTTATAAACTAAAATAACGTATCTGTGCTAGAAGATCAAGAAAATTTAGAGAATAGGCTTTTATTTGTTAAAACTGCTATTGGCAGTCTTAAAAACAACGTATCTTTGCTGGAAGAACAAGAAAATTTGGAGGATAGGCTCTTTACTGTTGAAAATGTTCTTGACGACCTTAAAAATAACGTATCTATGTTGGAAGATTAAGAAAATTTAGATAATAGGCTCTTAACCGTTGAAACTGCTATTGATGGACTTAAACCAGCATATCTGTGCTAGAAGATCAAGAAAATTTAGACGATAGGTCTTAATTGTTGAAAATGTCCTCGACTATCTAATAAATAACGTATCTGTACTGGAAAAAAAGAAGAAATTGTCCATAAATTTTCCGAAAGAGTCCATATATGGACGTTTCATGGAGTCCAAATAGACGTCCAGGACTGGGACATTTGTATCGTCCAATTGACGTCCATTGGATGTCCTTTGGTAAAATGCGACGTCCTTTGGACATCCAATGGATTGGTGTGCGCTGTCTGGGTGGAAATATTGCATATTTTTTAAAATCAGTCGATTTAAAATTTATAGGTAATTTTCTTAGGAATTCCATGTCAAATCGCATTAAATTGTTATTTTGGATAACAAATGGCTTTAATATTGACTTCTCTACATCAACTCAACGTCCTAAAAATTGGTTTGCAATATCGCCGTAATACCATTGTATAAATAACTACTAATAGTATCACCTTCTGCAAATATTATTAGAGTCAAATAGATACTGCCAATAGATGACGCTAGTGAATTTAGATACAGTGGAAAATCGCTATTTTCCAACTGGGCGACTTTAAGCGTGTTTGTAAATAGGAGGGTTTAAATTATAAGATTTTAAATGTTAAAAAATTGTATTATTCTCATATTCCAAGGTGATTGGTTGTCTTTGTGCAGTTGTTTACGGGTACCTAGTATTGTAAATTAGCTGTTTATTTTTTTATTGTTAGATTATGATATTGTAAATAAACACATTATACAGTGTAATTAAATTTGAAGATATGCAAAGTAAAAATTATTATTTGAAAGTGAACATGAATGAAATTAAATATATGCAATTGACACATATGTTCAAACTTAAAAACTTTTGAAATTACGCAAAACCAGAAATTCAAAAGGAAGATGCAGTTGAACTATCAGAGTTGTTACTTTTAGAAACATTACAGAAAAATTACTTTACTATTCAATCCAGTTGGATGTTAATGACCAAAACTAGTAGAACAGTAGATGACTCAACCAATCAATTGTGTGCTTACGAAACAGATTTAAAAAAGCAAGGAAGTCAAGAAGTTCTGCTAACAAATACGTCATATTTTAAGATAAAACAGATTTAAAAATTAGCCGTACAAATATTGTCAATAGCGAGGCTATAGAGTAAGAAATTGCTCTAAGTGGCATTCCGATGGCAGACCTCCTAAGCCAAATACAGACAAATCCAAAGCCAATATGATGTTAATCTGCCTTAATGTTAAGTCTAATAACATTAGCTGGTATGTGGATAATGAAACAGCAAACCATATTACAAACTGTTCATACCTATATGATACCTTTGTAGCCTTCATAACCAAACATCATGTAATGGTGAATCAGTTGAAGCCTTTGGTAAAGAGACAGTAGTTCTTCAAACAATAGCCAATAACAAAATAGACAAGTTAATCATTAATGATGTGTAATATGTCTCACAAATCAAAACTAAGAGTATATAGAAGTGAAGATTCTGGATTATACATACAAGTTAAACGTTGACAGTTGTAGAAGATCATCCTGTATGATTGATTTTGATGAGATTTGGACAGTATTGTCAAGTTTGACATAAGTAATATTTGAAATAAGATTGTAGAGCTATATTAATAAAGCTTATTCGAGCTAATACTCTCATATTTTATTACAATGGCGCAGTCAAGTGAAAACATTATCCGAATCGACTATGAGGAGACCGCAGATGAAAAAGAAAAAGACCAGAACATAATTTTTGGAAAGAACGAACTAGACAAAATGATGTCGAAGTGGCTGTCAATAAAAACTAGACCGGAGATGGTGAAAATACCGATGTTTGATGGTTTGGACGAGAATCCACTGGCCTGGATGAACTCATATGAGTTTGCATGTCTTTCGAATGAATGGAATTCAACAGCTGAGAAGATCTTCCACCTTAGAGGTCAACTAACAGGCGTAGCACTAAGTTGGTATGAAGAGAAGGTTCAGATCACAGCAATGAATGAGTTTCAGTGGGAGGAATGGAAGGAGGAGTTCATCGAAACATTCGATGAAAATTACATTGTTAAATGGGAAAAGGCATTGGCATTAAAATATCATTATGGAAATATATTAGAATATTTTTTAGAAAAGCAAAGGTTACTTAAATGGGCAGATGATACCATTTCTGAAAGATCTTTGATAGCTTTAGTTATTTTGGGACTTCCTACAACCATGCAAAGGCAGCTCAGTGGTAAAGAAATTAATTCGAAGCAGGAGTTACTACAAAATTTAAAATATTTAAAGATTGAGAAATTCTGCAGTGCTTCAGGTTATCAGGAGAACGGGTTGCCAAAGAATACTCAAACACATTTCAAAAAGAATCACACGTGGAAGCCAGTAGAAAAAAGGGACACTAATAGAAGAACAGAAGATGAGGTACAAGGAGCAGGTTTGAAGGACAATTTTTCTAGAAACTACTACAATGAAATAGTTAACAATGATATTGATGAGAAAGAAATACAGTATTTTGAAAATTATTCGAATTTTTCTTACAATTTTAATATTTCAATAGAAAATAATGAAAATGTTGTACCTGTATTAGTATATGATATAAAACTAAAGGCTTTGTTAGACACTGGTTCAGAACTAGATATAATTAATGAAAAAGTAGTTGATAGGTATAAATTTCCAAAATTTAAGAAAAATGTCAGCATCAGAAGTCTAGCGGGAATAACAAGATGCTCTTATGAGTCAAGAATCCAGATAAATATAAATGGAAAAGTAAACTAAAAACCTCCAAAATTAAACATGATATCAAGTCACACGCAATTACAATTATTTCACGAATGACTAGGCCATCAGAATAAAAGGCATGTAAAAATGATCACGGAACAAGATTTTGGATTAAATGGACATCTAAATAGTGAAATATATGAGGATTGCGTCTAAAAAAAATCACACAGAAAGAAATTTGAAACAAGGTAGCATGCGACACAAACTGGACGCATACTGATGTACGAGTATGCCACTAAAGCAGCTTAAGAAATTGTTTAGCCTAAACGTCTTTTGATGGAAGTTGCCCAGTTGACGGTTGTTCCCAAAATTGACAACGAAACTGCTTTAAAGTTAGCTCAAAATCACGAATTCCATAGGCGTAGTAAACATATTTGTATAGGGATAACCAGTATCCAGTGCATAATAAATCTTATCAAGTCAATTTTTTAAGCACATCCTCTATAGTTTACACAAAATATTCTATTTAAAAGATGTTTCCCTTGGTTCTCAAGAACGACATCAAAAAAATATGAAAATCGAGGGATATCCGGGATCAAATGCATTATATTCAGGTCAGTTTTTTGAACACAGCTTTAAAATCAACTTAAAAAAATTTAGGAAATTGTTTAAAACTCCCCAGGATATCTTACATGAATGCCGTCCTTCATGTCCTTTTCTCATTACATTTAACTTTTAAATTAAGAAAATAGAGAAGAACAAGTCGTTAATTTGTATTGCTATTTCCAATTATAGTACTTTCTTGAAAGATATGAAAAAAAAAACAGGTGAATTCCGCGGAACCCTTGAGAGATCTCCACGAAACCCCAGAATTCTACACCATCTCAGAAACTATGCTCAAGGGCTCCAGTTTAAAATTCTTACAATCCATTAGCCTTTTATTAAAAAAAATATGCTAAAAAAGATATAGCTAATGACAATAGCCTCCTCTAAAAATTTGGCCTAGTGCCGCTCTTGTTGCCTAAATTTAATTATATTCATGTTCACTTTAAAAAAAAAATAGATATCTTAAAATTTATTCCATAACAAAAAATAAACATTAATTTACAGTACTACCTGTAAATGCACAATGACAACAAAGAATGAATTACATTGTCACGAATATCAGAATAATAAATTTTTTATCACCTAAAATCGAAAACAGTTTACAACTTTATTCGATCAAAAATAATTGTTAAGAGAAGTTTTTACTACTGTAAAAATATACACTGTCCAAAGGAATATGAATTTAAGTCAAATTAAATATTTTTTTTATTTTTGCTTTGTAGCAACGAGAGGGGTAAAAGTAATTTTTTTACAAATGAAATTATCTCAACAAATTTATTTAAGATTATGTAATGGGTTATTCATTATAAATTAGGCACAATCAAAAACCCAGTGACGTTCAGATTTCACAGAATACAACAAAAAAATATACTTTTTAAATGAGATGAATTGTATGGTAATCAATTTTTAAAACATTTTAATTTTTAAATTTCAAAAATATACAATACCCTTAACTTAAACCTACCATTCTCAAGTAATTAAACGTCGAATGTCTTAATTAAGAGGAACATAGTACCTTATTCTAGAAAAAAACAGACAAATTTAAAAGAGAGCGAATTGGACGTATATATTCAGTCGAAAATAGTCTCAGCAAATTTCAACATTGGCCAAAAATGTATACAGGATATTAAAAATAAAGTGTTTTTAAAACCTATGCTCCCACCCCTCACTAATAAAACGGTGAACGCCTCTGCCGAATATCAGCTCTTAATTTCTATTTGACTAGTTGTCGATTTTTCTTTTTAAATATTTAGTTTGACGTCCGTAATAGGAGCCACCCTGTATTCATTTTCGACCAATATTGACATTTGGTAAGACAATGTTTGACTGAATATTCACTGTAAATTAAAACTTTTAATTTATCCCATTTTGGGCTTTTCTAGTTTTTTCGTGAATAAGGTATATGTTCCTCTTAAGCAAGTTACTATAATGAATGAGTAAAACCAAATTTGGTAGATTTTCACAAACTTTTATTTTAAAAAATAAAAATTAAAAAATTTAAAACACTATACAACGTCTTTTTGAAAAAGAAGTTGTACTTCGAAACATGTCATGTATAGTGTTTTAAATTTTTTTAATTTTTATTTTTTAAAATAAAAGTTTTGTGAAAATTTACCAAATTTGGTTTTACTCATTCAAGATAAAATGGATTTTCCTCAAGTAAAGGCCGAAACAATAAATAAGTTACTATAAATATGGAAGCATCAACATTAATAAAGTAAAATCTATTTAACATTACTTCAATAAAATAATAAAAAAAGTTTACAGTGTGGAATTAAAAGTGTTAAATATTTACCAAAACCAAGATATTCGACGTTAAATTAAACAATAAAAGATAATTCCTAAAATTAAATAAAATGTATATGGTATTCCAAATAATTTTTTTCATTTATGTTGTATCCTGTGACATATGCATGCCACTGATGTGGCTAATTCAGTCAGAATAAATATACAATAATAACTACAGTATAAAGGGCGGGTAATTTATAATGAATAACCCTGTGTCTAATAGTTTCAAAAATATTTCAATTTGCACTTTTTACGAAAGAAAAATTTAATAGTGTTTCCTTGGTGCAAAAATTTTGCGATACACTGTATATTCAAATCGACAATATTGTTATCAAATTAAAATTTATTAACAAAAGTTAAATTCTTCTTATACAATCATAAAATATGAAAATTTTTAATTTTTTTGGTAAAATATTCAAAAAAACTTTTGGAACTTATATATGAAAAATACTTTCTTGTTACCTTTCACTATCAGGGGTGTCTCCACAAGGTGCTCCTCTTTCGTGGTCTGCAGATTCGTAAATGCTTTCCTCCTCGACTTGATGATGACTATGTGGATGGGGATAAGGCAACCTGTTTGACGGTTGTCTGGAAATTAGAATAGTTATTTTTGTATTAAGTTATATCACCCATACTATAGAAGAATATACAGGGTGGGCCACTTAAAAGTTCCACCCCCCTTATCTTCGTTATTTATTGAGATATCGAAATAATTTTTTTTTCTTGGAAAGATAGGAACAAATAATTTCTTATGATTAATTCAATTATTCTGTGATGTCATGGCTTACTTCCGGTTTTTCCGGAAATACCAGAAAATCGCAATTTATTTTTTATTTTTAAATTGAAACCCAGTTTTTTTATTCTAAATTTGAATTTCTGAGACATTTTTGTATATTAATCGTGTATTAAAAATTTTCTGGCAGCTGTCAAAGTGGCCGCCATATTGGATAATATTGTTTCTAAGGATGTTACTATTAATTCGTTTATGGAAAAAAATATAGAACTGTATGATCTTTATAAAATCTTTGTAAGCTTTAAAATTATCATTTAGACCCATTTACCGTATACCAGTGGCGTATCTAAGCATTTTTATTATTAGCAAACTGTTTAATAATTCCATCCGCCTTTATCTTCATTGTGAATTGAGATATCGGAATGAAAACTTCTTTGTTTAAAAGCTTATAACAGATACTTTCATTTACTGGATTCAATTGGTCTATGACGTCATGGCTTACTTCCGATTTTCCCGGATATAACTGAAAATCGCAATTTTTTTTTAATTTTAAAATGAAAACCCCTTTTTTATTGAAAATTTGAATTTCTGGGACGTTTTCCGACAAGAAGTGTGTGTTAAAATTGTTCTGTCAGCTGTCAAAATGACCGTCATATTGGTTAATATATTTTTTAATGTTATTTTTTAATGGCACATGAGAGTGTTAATTTTTCTCTCGAATGTGCCATGAAAACACGAATTTTATATACGAAATACAAACATTTTTTGTACAACTATGAATGTGAATTTACATCGTCTGAAATATATAAAAAATAAATACTTCCAATTCATTTTGACGTGGTTTTTATCCCGATAATTTATCGCTTTTAAACGACTATCAATTATTATTCCAATAAATGAAATTGTTTTATGATGCCGTAATTAATAATTGACTCTGCTAAAAATAAATCCTTCAAAAAGTAATATTTCATCTTGGTTTTGTGAATTATTTTGGCAGTGAAAAAAGTAAACATTTACGCGTTAATAGAGATGCAGAAATGTCAAGTTTTTCTGACAGTTGTACAAAAAATATTTTGTTTTGTTTTGTACAACTGTAACAGTTGTTGAGAATAATGATAAGAATTATTCTAAACATAGAAATCGATACTCACCTGTAACGACCGTAAACAAAACGTGATTCTCTATGGGATTGATGAGAACTCTCACTACAAGCCGAGGAGGACTCTTGTCGATAATGGCGATCCGCTTCTGTTTCGGACATTCGAATGTCTTCTGAACCACTCGGACTCATATGGCGTGAATGATGTTCGAGTTGTCTAATAAGATCTTCTAAATTTCGTATGCGAATCGGGCCACAAGGGGGGACTTCGTCGTCCTCTTCTTCCTCGTGTTCGATGACCACCTGTTCATTAAAAAATATTTTGTTCTGATTTTTAAACTTTAAAATTTTAAACTGCCATACATTTTTTAAAAATGCATGTATTTCACCTCGAGATTTGGAGTTGAATAGCTCTGTTCTTCGTCTATTAGCAACCTTGCCTTAATTTCGCCATGTGCCAATATTGTACAGGAAATTTTACAAAGTGTGCACCCTTGTAAAAGTAACAAGATTTTAATTTGGGAATTGGGAAATACGAGCATGTAAATTTTGTTTTTGCCCTTGCTTACAGCTTTTCTTTGAGTACCTTCGGTATCAGTTTCTTCTCAGTGCCGTGCAAGATGAATACAAAATAAGGTTTTTTTCGCCATAAGGACTTAAATATGAAGGAAGGTAATGCTTTAGTTGATATAAGTCATCGACTCAAAAGTATTCCACCTTAAATTCAAATTTTATAATTTGCTTATTAGGGATAAGAAAAAAGAAAGAAAGAAAGAAAGAAAGAAAGAAAGAAAGAAAGAAAGAAAGAAAGAAAGAAAGAAAGAAAGAAAGAAAGAAAGAAAGAAAGAAAGAAAGAAAGAAAGAAAGAAAGAAAGAAAGAAAGAAAGAAAGAAAGAAAGAAAGAAAGAAAGAAAGAAAGAAAGAAAGAAAGAAAGAAAGAAAGAAAGAAAGAAAGAAAGAAAGAAAGAAAGAAAGAAAGAAAGAAAGAAAGAAAGAAAGAAAGAAAGAAAGAAAGAAAGAAAGAAAGAAAGAAAGACTAAAATAAATAACTTAATTTATTCGAAAATATATCAAATTAGAAGAAAATAAATTTGATTTATACTCGTTGTGAAAGGACTATTTTACTAACCTGTTGCTCACAGATGTCTTCTTTACTCCCGCTCCTCTTGTACTCCGAATAGCTCTCCGCACATTGAGCTAAGCTTCTCCTAAGCAGCTCCTCGCTCAAGGCACTCGTACTCCCGCTAGGCGTGGTAGAGCCTCGATGCGACGTAGCGGCGTTCCTTAAAGCTTTTATAATATCTTCGTGATACCCATTTAAAGTTTTTAAAGTTCTTTCTACATCCGTCGGACCCGATTCGCCCAACAGTTGAGCCATGTTTAGGTCCACTTGACTCAAGACGTCGTCATTTTGGACGTTGTTGACCCAGTTCTCTTTGCCGTCGCCCATCATTATTAAACCGTAGTCGTGTTTCTTCAGGATTCCTTTTTTCTCCGGCAGCTTGAGATTGTTGTGTTGGAGGTCTATAAAGGAGAGATTTTCTTCTTCGCCTTAATAAAAAAACATATAATAAGGGATAGGGGTGTAGGAAGTTTAAAAGACAATTCGCCTTTTAGTAGTACAATGTTGAATCATAGGTTACTAGGTGTAACAAAAACACAAACTTTTTATGCATTTATTTTAGGAAAAAAGTTATTCTTGGTCACTAACTTATAAAAGCTAAATTACAATGATTAGATATCAAATATTTTCACTCGCATACTTTTATTTTAGAAAATATCGATATTTGTTATAAAGCAAAGTTGCTAAGAATGTGAAGCTAGTTTTTAATATAGAATAATATTCATCTACCCTAGTATTTGAAATTATTTTTTTTTACTTTTCTCTTTAAAATATTTCTAAAAGGACTATTTATGGTGTTCTATGGATCACCTGGTCATAAAAAAATCTGGCTCTATCGATAAACAATATCCAACATGTTTCAAGAAGTGCTATTTAACTAGTACGATCAGTGGGTACCCCTGCAGGCCACGCTGAAAATAATCGACTATGTGACATTGTCTCTTCAAACTAGCTTTATGTGATATTTATTAGAATGCGGTCAGATTATGAAAAATTTGACAAAAAAAAAATTGTTTATTGCTGTACAATAGATGTCACAGTAGGTACAACTAATAACTTAGAGTGAGGAGGAAAGGGCTCGCCTCTTACTCGAAACTCGCTCTCCTGGAAGCACATCTTTTCTAATAAGGGACACTGTAAGGTAAGCAGGCCCCCAAGAGAGGCCGCTGCAGTGGCCAAACACATATGCAACAGAAATTAGTTAAAGTGGGCCGTAAACACTTTTGAACCATTTAAGTCTCCAGGTGTGGGATATATACCAGAAGCATGGAGAAGGGTCAGAGTCACCTTTATTCCAAAAGTAGGGAAAACAGATACCACGAATCCTAAATCCTTCCGATCAATCAGTCTCACATCCTTTGTATTAAAAACAATGGAGTAGGTTGTTGATAATTATATCAGAACGGAAGTCCTGGAGAGGGTGCCACTGCACCAGAGCCAACACGCGTACCGAGCAGGAAGATCTACAGAAACTGCCTTGGTACAGTTGACTGACGTAATCCAGGATGCACTGACAAACATAGAAACGGTCGTGTATGCCTTCCTAGACATAGAAGGAGCTGTTGACAACATCACATCCAGATGGATGGCTTAGCTATTGTCTACGAGAACTGCAGAGACACAGATAGGGTAGGACACCATCTCCATCAGCACAACCAGAGGATGTCCACAAGAAGGAGTTCTATCCCCACTAATGTAGAGCCTAATTTAGTACACGTTGGGGTGTGTCACTATACTTGTTGAAATGTTTGAAATCCTTTTTTTATTATTATTATTATTATTATGTTGCATTTCTCAACCAGCACCTAAAAATCCAAGAACTACAAGGAAAAAAAATATAAATCAAGTTGTAAGAAAAAAAAACTTTAGAAAAGGAGATTTCCTTTTGTAAAGTAACAATATAGATCTTTTAGGTCGTACTGTATTAACACCCCATTCCCAACAAAACATAACATACCTAAATAAGCACATTGATATTTTGTAGGATAAATAGTTTCTAAGATACCGCCTTAATCAGATACAATGGATGTCAGAGTAGATATAACTAATAAATTAGAGGTAAACTACAATAATCTATTAGGTTGCAGCACTACCAAGAAAAAATTCCTAAGGAAACTTTACTACCTACAGTTAGTGGAGTTTAATTAATCGTTTTTAATGCAGCAGCAGTATTTTTAAGTTTATGCTTTTTATTTTGCAATAATAGTGTTAATACGAAGTGTGACAGGAAAGTGATGAGACTAGTTTTTTATTATACAAATATTTTAATTCTTTCAAACATAAATGTTATCCCCTTTAAAGTAGTTCCCTTGGACAACTACATACCGATGGAGATATTGTTCCCACTGTTCGCAGCAGCGTTCTGGTTTTCAGCATGTCCGTTACCGTCTTTTGGATGATTTCTAAAGCCTTAAAATGACGGCCTTAGAGGACATTTTTTAGTTTAGGAAAAAGGAAGAAGTCACAAGGACTGAGGTCAAGGGAATTATGGGGGATGGGGAACCACAGAAATGCCATTTAATGTCAAAAATTCTGTTATGAAGAGGACAGTGTGACAATGTCTGGTCTCACGTGAATGACCCTTTTTCTGAGCCTTTCAAGGACGGCTTCTTCCTTTTTCTAAACTGAAAAATGTCTTCAAGGGCCGTCATTTCGGGACTTTAGAACTCATCCAAAAGACCGTAACGGACATGCTGAAAACCATAACGGTTGAAGACTTTCAGTACTGCTACGAACAGTGGAAACCACGTCTTAATCGGTGTGTAGCTGCCCAAGGGAACTACTTTGAAGGGAATAACATTGATGTTTCAAAGAAATAAAAACTTTGTAAAGTACACCTCGTATATAATACTACAACAGTCAGTTTGTGAGACGTTGTCAATAATATAAATAATTTACCTGAATGTATCTGATCCTCGTCGCCACTTGAAGATCCTACTCCTATTCGTTTTATCTGTTGCATTTTATGGTCCCTACGGAATAGTTTGTAGTTAATTGTTTTTATAGAATAAAGATTAATATTAAATTATTGTAAGGGCAAGTAGTTACTCTCAACATTACTCAGAAGTAAAAAACTAACCTTACATTAAAATAAAAAATAACTAAAAAGTGTAAAATTGCTACTCACTGGAATTGCCCCGCTCCAGCAGCCCCCATGTGATTGGAAGGACGGAACAGCACTCTTTGCGAGTCAGCCCGACTAACAACAAACAAAATTTAATAGCATACAAGTGGATATAACATAGTTAATAGAGAATTAGGTACAACAGTTTTACTTTTTGTATCGGCGACATAATAAACTTGTACCTGACTTAGTAATTAGTAAAAACTGGATACAATAATAATATCTGAAAAAAATATTCACTCTTCTGCCAGGCGCTCCATGATTTTTCTGTTTGATTAAATATATATAATGTATGATTTTAAAAAATCTTTAAGAGCTTGGCAAAATTTTCAATAAAATAAATCTACTATATAGCCAATCTAAAAAGCAAAATGTTAAAATCTGTCAATGAAAAACTAAGAAAAATGTTATATTAAACTATTAGTAAAAGATAAAGTTATTAATAATAATTATAGTATATTTTCATTGACAGATTTCGGTGGTTGAAATAATATAATGAATGTCCTAACAATGGCCACTATAAATGAAAAAAAAAAAGAATGATTTGTAGCAAAAATAAAAAATAGGAGTTTTTTTATTAAATATAGCATAGCTAAACTTAATAAAAATGTTCAAGGTTTGCATAATGATTTTTTAATTCTATTTTTAGGATTTTTATAATTCTAAAGTGAAGGGTTTTTAAAAGTTATCATGCAAGTCTACAATTTGATAATTCATTAATGAATTATACATTTTAAAATTAGTACCGTTAGTATTTTGAATTAAGTTGAGTTTAGTTGCTTCAATCATCTACAGCTACCAATATTTTTATTTCAGTGTGTGCTTTTTACTTGTTACTATAAAAGTGCGAAATTATTTAGTGATCTATTTGGAATTCTATAAAAATTATCTCTTGCAACTAGCACCGCTTTGATCTAAATCAATTCGATGATGTTCTTTATGTTCACATTTTTCTAAAAATTCTGTTGGCCGGGAAAATGTGGAAGGACTCTCGGATTCAAATAGTAAAATTAAAAAATAAGATGACAAGTTCCCATAATTTTTTTTCCTAGCAGCGCTCTCTACGTAGATACGGTCTACATTTTTAACACCCAGTATGATAAGGAGTTAAAAAAAATAAATTTCGATACCTTGAACATTAGGCTAAAGAAAAGGTTATCTTTTTCATTGTCAATAAAATGAACCATTTTCGAAAAATAAAAAAGAAAAAATAATGAAACATTTAATTTTTATTTTGATTAAAAAACTAAACTACCAGAATTATCTAATTTCAAATTGGTAAATTCTAAAATATAATGTTTTTGTCCTGAACTCCTGAACTCACTAAAGCTTGTAACGTTTGAACCTAAATACGCTAATAAGAAATAATCAATTAAAAACTTTATAAGTTGGTTCAACATGTGCTTCCTAGTAACAACCGGAGAGGAATACACCAAGGTTTTGAGATGATCCCACAAGTAAAAATCCATTGGCGTTAGATCGGGAAACCGTGGAGGCCAGGCACTTGGACCTCCTCTGCCTATTGGGGCTCCATCATGCATAAAATACATGCTTCGGCGGGTTTCAAGTGGAAAATATCCTCTAGAATCCAGAAAACCGTTCTGAAGAAACTTAAATAAAGTTCACCATTCAATTATGGCGGCAATACGCATGGTCCAATCAAAAAATGGCCGATTATTCCTGGCTAAACATTAATTGATTGGAACTAATGTTGATTATGATGAATACCAGTGGCATGAGGGTTTCCATCAACCCATACATGCGAGTTATGTAAATTTACAATACCATTTTTGGTAAACCCTGCTTCATCAGTAAAAAGAATAATGCTAATGAAGTTACAGGGTGTTAAAAATGTAAGCATTAAAATGTACAACCAAGTCTACTCCTGGTAAACTAAACAAGCTAATTATGTTTTAAGGGTATTATTTTAAGAGGTCAAACTAGGCTAAACTATTTTAAGATTAAACATTAAATGATATGGATGTTATCAGCAATAAGTTAAATAATTAAAATATTCTGTTACTCTATACGTTATTTTAAATGTAACATATGTTTTATTAATTTTAATTTATACAGTTTCGGATTAAAAATTAAACTCTAATATCTACAATATTTTTAAATTATCTACTTTAATTATCTAATGATTGACTGGCATTCATTATATACTCTAAAATGCAGAACGTTTCTATAAAATAACTACTTATAATACTAACTCTCAATCATTCAATAAACTCTCTTACAAGGTGGTTTTATAATGCGAAACTAAACCGAAATGGACGATGTGAACGTTATTGTGGGGACTTATTGTAACGCTTTTAAAATAATAATTCCTGGATAAAAAACTCTTTTTTTAATTTTCAATGCAATTAAAAAAATATAAGTTAAACATTTACATATTGAAATTTTTAAACGGATACAAACCAAGAAATTTTGATATTATTGTTATGATCTTACATTGCAAGTATCTGTGACTTTAGTAAATATTATTAAAACTAGTTGAAACAAACTAAGGTTTATTAAAGAGAAAATACATAAAAAAGACATAAAAAAGACATCAAAAAACAAAAAAGACATAAAAAAGACATCAAAAAGACATAAAAAAGACATAAAAAATACATAAAAAAGACATAAAAGACATAAAAAATACATAAAAAATACATAAAAAAGACATAAAAAAAACATAAAAAAGACATAAAAAAGACATAGAAATAGGAAAAAAAAAGAAATGATTAGTTAAAATATAAATTCTAAACAAAATCAATCATGGTGTCGATAAAAGATTAAGTGTCAATGTCTACTGACAATAAAAATAATCCTCATGATGGATGTCACATTTGTTGAGAATAGATAAGCAAACGAAAAGTTCTATATGAAATAGAATTTATAAACATCATTCCAAAAAAATGTTAGCAGTCATTATAGACAACTCAAATTTAATAAAAAAATACTAATCAAATATTGTTAGATAAAAATACATTCGAAAAGTAGACACTCTAAGCTTTAAAATGGTGTGCATTGAATAACAATATAATGAAATATGAGTTTTTAATTACTGCTTGTTTCAAAGATTTCTAGAACTCCGAAAACGTATGAAAAATGCAAATAAACAAATCAATTTTGTTTTAAAACGCCAGGAAGATACTGGAAAAAAATTTCTGAGATCATTCGAGACATCTCAAGATTCCACTTAAAACAAAAATGGGATAAAAAACTATTAAAAGAAAAAAAATATGAATGAAATACTATAAAGTGGTCCAAAATATTGGGAAAACGCAACTGTTACCCCTGTTTCAATGTTCTTGACAAGAAATAACGGGCTTCAAGGCACATGGATCGATACCTATGGGTTTTCCCATTGTAATGAACTTTGAATCATCGAAAAATATCAATTTTTGACCGAGTTCTGAAACAATTTGTCCACCCGTTTACAAGCTAATCAGCATAGCTATAGACATAAAGCAGGGGCTGAACAAGGGGACTTTTGATTGCGGTTATCTCGAAACCTGTCTAATTCCCGACAAAAATGATAAGGACTATTTTTGTAGATAATGATAAGATATTTCTTTTTTATCTAAACAAAAATTCTCTAATTTGCATATTGTGGAAGATATTGGCGGGAAACCAGTTTTAGGGTCCATTTTGGGCCCTTTCCGACGCAGCAGAGTTGGTAAAAGTTTTCGCCCTTGAAAGCAACCGTCAAGACCTAAGAATTGGGCCACAAAGGAAATCTGGACCGACTTAATGACAGCTTTGCATATTTTCAGGTCTTCAGTTACTGGACTATTGGGCGAACTCTTACTTTTAAGCCTCTTTAGTTTATAATAATGAAAAATTGTTGGTTGACTCAAATAAAGCTAGATATAATGCAAACTAAAAACAAAACTTCTAGCTTTACGGTATATAGTAACAAAGGTAGAAAGAAATCAAGAATAAAAGAAAGACATCATAAGTGAAAGAAATAAATAAGAAAAAAGTTATTACCAATGACCAACATTTTTTAATATATTCTAGTTAACCAAGAATATTTATTAACGTCTACTTCTTGCACAGATGATTCAATTTTTGCTTATTCAATATGTTTTTTATTACATCAAAATATAAATATTTTAAAAGCGTTACAATTTTCGCAGAAAAGACAGTCTCCGCATTCGATAGTGTCAAAACTTACCCATAAGACGAGACAATTCCAGGACCAAGCGTTAGAATCGCCGATGTATTATCTAAGCAATCTTGCTGCGAATGGTTGCCGGTCATCCCGTAGGTTTTAGGCATCGGCGGCTTGCACGGTTTCTCATATTTACTAACTGTTGTCTTCCTTCCATTTTTAATTTTATATTTGAAGGAAGAGGGAACAATAATATAACCGTATTAATATTGACATGTGACAAGTTTGCGATTCGTATAGCTTGAGTATCAACGGTGATGTTATTTAGCATGAAAGAATTTTTGTAACTATTTGTTAATGAATTAAAAAGTATAATAGGTATATATACAGTGGCGGCTCGTAGGGGCAGTGACAGAATATAGGTATCAGTACAGTTGTATAAAAACACTTTTTGTGTTTTAGAAAGTTTATAATGTACCTTTCTAAAACACTGACAGTTTTTTATCTATATCTGTACCTGAATCTATATTTTGCTACTGTGAACCCCCAAAATTTTGGTCACAAGCCGCCCCTGTATATATAAATATATATTTTTTACTAATGTTTATTATAATCGAAATTGTCTGCTTGTGTTGCTTTAAATTAATTTATTAAAGCCGTACAAGTTTGGCAGATACATTTAGTTATAGTAAAATAAGTGGTTATTCTAAAATAGACTCACAAATATACAGTGTGCGTCATAAAGTTCCATTTTCTCCAATATTACGATTGGAAAAAATGAAGAGCAATCATCTCTGCTTATTTAAAAACTTAAAAGAGCTCATATCAAATTTGGCTAACCATATTAGTTTTCTATCTTATTTGCATTTAAAACTTTTTTTTCTGGCCAATTTTTCAATAAAAAATACAAAATTTGACAGATAACTAATGCAGTATCCAGCCAAATTTTATATGTGGTATTTTAAGTTTT